CATCTGTGGTGGGCCAGTAGGGAGCACTCCTGTGCTGAGCCATCTGCCTCACTGTGCCCTGCCAAAAACCAAACTTTGGATGCCTCCCCAGGGGCACCAAATTATGACCAACCCCCTTATTGGAGCACACCTGCAAGCCTAGGGTACCGCTGCCACCATCCAGACTCAGGTCTTTGTCTGTGCCCTGTGCTGCCCAGGATACATAGACCCTGTAGACCTAAGGGTTGCCTAATCCCAGCAGAATATATCTGGGGGCTTCTTATAGCCTGAAGCATAAAAAGTGGCCTTTCTTAGTCAGCTGAGTAAAGGGAACAAGAAGGCTTGCCCCAATCCCTCTCAAGCATGTACAACAAGGCTGGCTATAACGGATAGCTTTATTGGGTAGAGAGGGAAGGCATGGGGAGGGGTACAAGTCAGAGAAGTCCCAAAAGAATAACCCTGAGCAAACAGAAGTAGCTTGGTAGCCTTTTGATACACAACTAGAGTACATTAAACTAAGTTCCTAGTTAAGTTTCTGGTAAGTTGCTCACTTCCGCATCCAGCAAATGAGGGAGAGCTGCAGAGGTCCATGTTTCTGTGTGTGTATTTTAAAATGTCCGCCTGTCTTCTTCCTGCAGGGACCCTCTTAAATATACCCTCCTGACCTCACCACCTGGACCCAGTCAGGGTCAGGTGTCATTTGATGCCTGCTGTTCAATTTGAAAAACAGCACAGTTACCTAATGGAGTGACATGGGCTTAAGTCCCTGCCTTTAGGTTGTGAGGTCAGAGCTCAAAACAATACAGAGGTTACACGCACATCCTCTTACCTGAGGCCTGTCATGTGGGCAGTGGCAGCGAGTTGGCTGCCTAGTAACTGGATTGATAGACACATGAGAGCGAGAGGGGAACAGATGAGGAGGCTGGGAGGGAGTTCTGTCATACCATCCACCAATCCAAATAGGTCTCGTGTCATAGACACGTTGGGTTCCTGTCCATGTCCTGATCTCAGTATCACAGCCTCCTCCAATGCTGCCCAGGAAGTTGAGGGGGAGCACCCCCTCTCCTCTTGCACATATGAGAGAGGAAAAGAAAGCATAATCCTGTGATAACTTGGAAATGCCCCTGTTGTCTCCCTTCCCTCTTGGATGTTTGCTTCAGTCAGAGTGAGGTTCGGGAACTCTGGGCTCGGCTCCGGAAGGAACGACCAGAGCTCTTGGCCAATTTTGAGGAGTTCCTGTTCCGTGTTTCCTCGTACATCAAGGAGGTGAATCAGGAGAAGGAATCGATGGAGCAGGCACTGAAAAGGTAAGAAGACGTGCGTAGTCACTCATCTGTGGCCTCCAGGGAACCAACTGAGGCTCATTCTATACAACCTAGCTCACCATTTTTCCTGAAATACCAGGAAAATCTAGCTAGGTTGGATGAGCAAATGGTGACTTCTGTGCTAGGTATAACGGTGGCTTGTCTATCCTATCCCATTCTCCTCAGAATGATGTTATATTAATGCATAGCAGCTTGCTAGCTCCTAGGGATAGGTTTGCTCTAAAAATAAAATTGGGTGCAAGTTAAAATGCACCCATAAAGACTTCTAGTAGTATTAGAATCCCTTTAGCTGTCTATGAGCCTGGGGCTCTGGGAACCTGGGCAGCTCTTATTGTGAATCCTGAATTCATTTCAATACCCCTGTCTCCCCCAACACACACATCTTTCTTATTCAGTAAAGTTTTCTCATTCCTTGTCCTTTCTATTTCTTCCTCTTCCACTTTTACATGCTCTCTCACTGGCGCTCTCTTTCTCTCTTCACTACCCCTTTGTAGGAAGGAGACAGATCATGACAGAGAAGTCAGGTGCCTTTATGAAGAAATGGAGCAGCAGATCAAAGTAGAAAGGGAGAGACTGCTCTGTCAGGTAAATCCTTCTTTCCAAGTGGAAAGGCCTAAACCCTTCCCAACTCTGAAGCCAGGGGCTGAGTGTCATTTAGCACAGTGTTTCCCAACCAGCGTGCTGTGGCACAGAAGTGTGCCGTCAGAAATGAACAGGCGCACCGCAGAATTCAGCCATGGCAATGAGCTACAATAGGTATGAGGGTGGGGAATGCTTTAACATGTGTGCTGCAGAAAATTTTTATAAATATGCCTTAGGCTGGAAGAAGTTGGGAAACCTTGATTAGCTACTGACTTTAGGGCAGAGGATGGTATTATCATCTCTTTCATGCCCTGATGTTTGGAAATATTGGCCCCCGGCCACTGTACAGAATGAAGAGCTGTGGCCCTTTACCCCCACACAGGAGTCACTGAGGCATGAAAGGAGCAGCCTGCTGCAGAAAGAGCTGCGCAGCAAGGAGCAGGAACTGGAGAAAATCCTCTACCGGCAGAAAAAGGTAATGTGGCCTTCCTGAGGAGGAAAAACTATGCATCCCCACCACCACTCCTTCCTTGGATATGTTCCTTCTCTGGATTGCCCTTGGCAACCTGCAAGCCTCACCAACTCCAGCTCACATGGAAGTGGATGGTGACGGGGCCAATTCCAGCTCCAGCTGTTACCACTGGGGGGCTGGCTTGTCCTGCATGCCTTTTTTAAAAAAGCTGCTTCAGTGTATCTGTTTAATTTTATATCCATTTTTTGGAATCCTTTCTTACATTCCTCACTGACAGTTCAGTTCATCTGGCAGTGGTAGGAAGTAAAAAATTGGAAGGTTAAAAGTGCGTGACTGGCTGGACAGTAGCTCTGCAGAAAAGCACCTGGGGGTTACAGGGCACAGTAAGATGAATATGAGCCAGCAGTGTGCCCTTGTTGCAAAGAAGGCTAACAGCCTACTGGCAACAGATTTACCAATGCAGCCCAGTATGCCAAGGGAAGTGATTATTCCCTTCTATTCAGTACTGGTGAGGCCACATCTGGAGTGCTGTGTTCAGTTTTGGACCCCCCCCCCACTACAGAAAGGAAGTGGACAAATTGGAGAGGGTCCAGCAGAGAGGGTGACAAAAGTGGTGAGGGTCTGGGGGACATGACTTATGAGGACAGGCTGAGCAAACTGGGCTTATTAGTCTGGAGAAGAGGAGACTGAGAGGAGACAACAGCAGTCTTCAACTACCTGAAGAGGGGTTTGAAAGAGGATGGAGCTAGACAGTTTTAAGTGGTGACAGATGACAATAAGGAGCCAACCGTCTCAAGTTGCAGCAAGGGAAGCTTAGGTTACATATTGGGAAGAATTTTCTCACTCAGAGGGTAGTAAAACACTGGAACATGTTACCCAGAGAGGTGGTGGGAGCCCCATCCTTGGAGGTTTTCAAGACCCGGGTAGACAAAGCCTTGGCTGAGATGATCTAGTTTGGGATGGTCCTGCTTTGAGCAGGGGGTTGGACTAGATGACTTCCTGAAGTCCCTTCCAGCCCCCATTTTCTATGATTCTGTGACTTGGGAATGCTCTCAGAGATGCTACCAGACATCCAAATGGTCTTTTGCTGCTGGCAGAGATGACCCAAGCAGGGTGTGGGGCCCAGGCCAAATCAGCCTGTATGGGGCCCTGGATGTGAGGAAGCCAACAGCAGATTTGATTGGCGACATAGGGGTGGGTGGTGAGCAGCCAGACATGCCGGTAGGTAACAGCCCAAGGGGGAACAGGGTGCCGAGGGGCCAGATGTGAAGCCGGTGGCAGTGCAGAGTCACTGTGCTACTCTGCCCAGCTCCATGGGGCCCCCTAAAGTGCAGGGCCTGAGGCGCTCACCCTGATTCAGTGCTGGCTGCATGTGATGGCAAGAGTTCCTGTTCTGAGATGGGGAACTCTAAGGGAGGGGATGGGGTCATGACTAGGTGGTAAGAGTTTTATATGAACCAGCTTTCTGTATCCTAGACAAATTCAGATGAGCAGCAAAGCCTTGAGAGGCCTGTAGCCTGAGAGTATATAGTGAATCACACTAGCTGGTATACAGGCTCTCATGTAATCATCACAACTGGAATTAGAGCCCATCAAAACATTTTTTTTCTGGACAGAATATTAAGTTTTCACTAGAGGCATCTTTTTGTTCCCCTCCCTCCCCCAAATCTCTAATTTTTTTTATGGAAAAATTCAGTTTTTTGACTGCAAATATTTCTCTTTTTCCAACAGGAAAAGATACAGATTGTTTTTGTATTTATACTGCTGCTGGGGAAATATTCCCATCTTCCAACCAACTCTAGCAGAGATGCTTTGTAAAGAGATGGCTTTCAGAAGTGGTTTGGAGGAAATAGGGGAGAAGAGGCTATAGTCTGAAATTCACCAAATGAAACAATTTTGGCAGCAAGCCAAACGGAGACTCTTCCATTTCTTTTTGTGTATATGGCACAACTGGCCCAGAGTACTGTTTTGATTTAGTCCTATGCAAACAGGACTCTGGTAGAACCCAACTCTCCAGATTGCTTGAGTGGCAGCAAATCAGTCTGTATAAATGAGGTTTGATATGCATAGAGATATGCTGGCTTGCATATAGGACAGAAAAGCTTCAAAAGATGGTGTTCAATAACTGAGGTTGCATGTGCTCCGGGGGGGGGGGTTAGGAGGCTAAAAGATTTCAGCTTCAAGGGTGCCTGTCTGCAAGGATTCCTCAGAGACAAGGCTGCTTATCTGGCCTTCCAAGGAGCCCTTGATGAATGATCTGTCATGGCAAACACCCCTCACAATCCAATATGTGTGCTCGCCACCTGTCTCCTTCAGGCCTGTTTGAGCAGGTGTGGCATACCATGCAGTGCAGAGTAGCACTGAATATTTACATTCTGTGTGAGTCTTCTGTTGAGATGATTCAGAGCCAGATAAGCTATGCATGTCTCATGTAGTCTTGCTTTCTGATAAGCATCTGACATAAAAGTTTTCAGAAAGAACAGAACTTGGAGTACGTGTGCTTCCATTAGAGGGAAAGGGTGTAAGAGATGATATCTCTCCTTGTCTTTTAACTCAACTTCCTGCTGATGAAATGCAGTACATGCTAATGAGTACCTAGGATTGCCTGGTATCCTTTACTGAAGGAGCAGGGGTGTGCAAACGTGTTCCCCTCCCTACTCTTAAGATCCCCGGGTGCAGGGAGTCACTGGAGGGAATCGGGGATGAGGGTTGCTAGAGGAGGTTTTCTGGGAGAGCTGGAGCAAGCAGCAGGGAATCGTGGCTGTGTGGGAGCTCCAGCAGAGAGCTCAATAAAGTACAACTGAGAAGGGCCACTTCTGGTGCCAAACACAGGGGAGCTGCCTTGGGAAGTGTCTGGGGAATGGTGTGATTGATTGCAGGTGCCCAGAAAAGACTGGAAAAGGGAAGAAACCCTGGTCTCTGGAGCAGCCACACCTGAGGTCCTGACAGGCCACCCCCATCTTCTGTCCAGATGACAGCATCGCCACCCCTCTTCTGAGGTGGGGTGAGCACTGCTCCCCGGGGCTCCACTGCAGCCACTGCACAGTGGGCTACTTTGCTGCAGGCAGAGGGATTTTGTGGAGACCTGGTTGACTAAGTGTATACACCTGCTATAAGTTGCCTGAGTGTTAAAGTTGATAACCTAATTGCTTTTGTTATGTGATAAGTATTTGCTTTATCTGCTGGTATAGATTATTGAGCTCATTGAAAACACTTTGTTATTTATGGGATGTCAAATTTGTCAATCTCCTAGTTATTATTGTAAATAATAAATTATTGTAAATAGTTTAGTGAGTGGTCTGGTGTGGGAGGACCACAGGAGAGCACTCCCATGAGTGGTGCTCCCAGCCTGTAGACAGAGTGGGAGTAGACCAAGACCTATTGGCACCCCAGGATCCCAAAAATTTGGACATGGCTGCAGGTAGTGCTGCTGCCAGGGTTACACAGGCACAGACTCCTGGAAGACCATTTCAGGCTCAACATTAGGAAAAAACTACTTCACAACTGGGGTGTCCAGACTCTGGAATAAACCACCTCCAGAGGTGATACAATCGCCTACCCTGGAAATTGTCAAGAGGAGACTGGACGGGCACCTTACTGGGGTCACCTGACCCCCCAGTTATCCTTCCTGTTTGGTGCAGGGGGCTGGACCCAATGATCTTCCGAGGTCCCTTCCAGCCTTACAATCTATGGATCTATGGATATCTGTTTGTTCCCAGGGGGTTTGTAGTAGGTTGTTATTCAGCTTTTATTTTCTCTGGGAAAATAAATGTGTCCTCATAGGAAACAATATCAATAGCAAAACAAATGAATACAGAAACAACAAAGGGTTAACTCCAAACCTGTGGTCATTCCTCAGATCTAGAGAGGGCGATCCCAGTTCTGTGCTGCCTCTTCAGCACCACAGTCTTCCCTCCCTGGGAGCTTTTAACTTCCTCTGGGCCAGACAATTATCAAGCCCTGGAGCGGGCAGACTATTATTCATGACCCCCCCACAGCTGGGCTCCCACCTGAGCTATGTACCCAGTTACAGGGTTAAGCGTGGATCAGTTATGATGTTGTATGCACTGGGCATACAGTAAATTTAAACAAGCAAGATCCTTATTAGCGGACAAGGCAATATGCCACGTTTATTGGACATATAAAAACATTAAAACTTCACTTACACACTCATTCACACACAGAGACACAGACACACAAAGAGTTCTGCAGATGTTAAAATGTTACCAGTTCTTAGTTGCTCGAATCAACTTAGTGGCCAGCTAAGCTGAGCAAGAGAGGGGAGCTAGACCTTCTGTCAGATGCATACTGATGCTCCTTGATGTCGTGCAGAACAGACTCAACTCCTTGCTGCTAAGTCTCTCCCCTTTATAAGGGGTACCAAGTCTTTGTCCAAACTCACAGTACTTTTCCATCCTGACACGTGGTCAGGCTCATCCATCACTGTCCTTAAGTGATGCTCTTCAATCACTCTGTTTACAACATTCCTTTGTTATCACTGGTGTGGGCTGTGTCTGGCACAAAGGGAGTCTTTTAGTCTTGAAGTGTTGCAGGCCCTGCCTTTTAATCTTGGATCCTCGCCTGGTACAGAATTGCCTCTTCAGCCTTTTTCCCAACACAGTTCACCATTTGGTAACTTGGTTTGTTGACACACAATATACAGTACTTTCTCAGTTACTCTACATTCATTCATCCATACGTTCTAAATGTTACAAAAAAATTTTATTTTGAATAACAAACTTAATTTATAATAACTCTAGGCTACTATAAAATGAAATTTAAGCTAAGTCATACAAAAGCTAAGTTAAACAATACAACAGTAATATTCATATAATTAATATAAAATGAATACCAGGTAGCTTAAAAGAAAATCAGTCCAGGCCTGACAATGGTTTGTGCTTAAACTTCTGATACATACCACCCTTTCAGTCCAGGTGATCTTGACTAGGGGAACAGGGTGCCCAATTCTCTTGTGCCCTTTGCATTGTTATTTTGTGAGCTGACAGCTATAGGGTAAGATTTTGAGTGAAATGCAGGAAAACTTCCAGGTCCTTGCTGTGATCATGTGACAGGTCCTAAGCAAGAAAAACCCCAAACCTGCTAATCTAAATGAAAGTGGTACTGCTGAACAGTGTTTTCTCCATGTATTCCTCCATGTATCTGTGTGTATCCATCTGGTATCTAAAACTTAGTATATACTTTCTTTTCCATAGCACCTGGCATGTTGGGTTTCATTACAATGACTGGGAGTGTTAGTTGCAAATAGTAAAGGCCTCTTCTGGATCAAAGATCAGCAGAGTTACTGCTGTTCCTCCATCCTTGACTCTTCTCCATACTGTTTTTACTACTTCTGTTCCACATCAGGGTGTGACTTGGTCATTTGTGTGCTAGGGTGAGATTGTAAATCCAGTGTAGTGATGCAAGGAGTCAATAGGTGAGTACAGGTCACAGGTTTTGAGTTTCTCAGCTTCTTGCTATAAGTTCCCTGGAATATAATGCTAACTTTTTTGTGTGGCCTCTGGACCATCTCCTCAATGGCACTGTATGTGTGGTGCTCTTCCGGCCTGTTTTACAATTATGGCGGCTCAAGTCTGGTACGCAATTCATTAGTTAAAAACTTTTTGTCCTCTCTCTCTCTCTCTCTCTCTGTTTCTCTCATTCTGCTTTCACAGCTAGAACACCAACTGCAGTCACTGAACTCGGAGCAACTGGAGACCCGAGTGCAGAATGAGCGGCTCAGACACCTGAATGAAAGCCTCCTGGAGCAACTGGAGAAAAACAAGTGGGAGCTGGAGGTAGCCAGGGGCCATTTGCAGAGGCTTCAGAAAGAGTCACAGATGGAACAGGATCAGAAGGACAGGTGTGTCTGGCTGGGGGTTGCAGAGCATTTGGTCCAACCTGTGAGCTGCTTCTGCATGATTTGCCTTACCTGGAATTTGGTAAAAGAAGGGAGGATGGTTTGGTGGTTAAAGAATAGAAGAAAACTTAGCTTTCAATCTCTCATATTGTCACAAGCTTGTTGCCTCATTTGGGAGGAAAAAAAACCAATCTTGGGTTTTCATATTGGTTATGTACAACCTCTCTAAATATAGGTATTGTGAGGCTAAATTAATTAATGTCACTAGATGCTGACTGGAAAGCACTGGAGAAATTTAAAGAACTATTTTTTTTTTTGTATGCAGCACAGTAGGTCTCTTCTTCCATGTGCTTCAACCAGTTAATTGCGTCCTCAGCAGGATATATTGTATCTATTTGTATTGCTATTTATTGGGACCATTGTCAGGTGTGTCTTCAAGCTTTGGCTAATATTTAGCCTGTCCATAGCAGCTGCTCACCTATAGATCTCCAAGCACCTTATGAACAGAGGTTTTACCATTGGGAAATTGAAATGCAAGGAGGGAAGGCAAGTATCCCATGTGGAACAGAGTGAAGCTGGTTTAAACCCAGGTCGTCTGACCCTCAAACCACTGCTGCATGCAGTCAGTTGAGCTACTGTTGCAGCTGCCAGGCTGGTAGCTTTGGCAGAAATGTACATGTTTGCATGTGGGGAATTTTTTTTCCTCAGTCTTTTTTTTGTTTTTGTTTTAATCTTGTTTTCTCCCCCCTCCCTTTCCCTTCTCCTTGACTTAGGGATGTATTTAGAGTCTCTAAGAACATGCAGAAAGAAAAACAAAGCCTCCTGCGACAGCTGGAGCTCCTCAGGTACGGGGAGCCTTGACAAATTCCAGCTTCAGAATAGAGGGGCGGAGAAGCTGGGTGGAGAAAGGACGTTCTCCAGAGTGCAGGCAGCAACTGGTAAAAACAACCAGGCAGCTAACAAGACAGCTACTTTGCTCTGAGTCTGAGGTATCTATCTGGCTTCCAGAGCTATGGATAGGGAGTTATTCAGCCAGTACGTGAAGATCTTTTGGGCTAGTACATTAGCTCTGAGAGTCCTTTTTGCATGTGCCAACAGTGTTATGGTCTGATTCTTTCTCTTCAGAAACCTGTTGTAATACACGATGGGATGTGTGCATGAATGCGTATATATTTTGTGTATGTATATGTGTAATATAAATAATGTGTGTGTACACACACACGTGCGTACGGCTCTCTCTCAATAGATATATAGAGCACATAGGTGTGCATAGATATAGCCGTGTGTGTGTATATATCTAGATAGATAGATATAGCCGTGTGTGTGTGTAATACATATATAGCCCTGTGTATGTGTATCCACACACACGCACGCACACGCAGCTATATCTGTCTATCTGGATATATACACACATACACGCACACACATGGCTATATCTATGCATATGTATGTGTGGACACGCGCACGCATGCATGCGATAGGGTGCTTTCTTGCTCTGTGTGTGTGTGTGTATATACAGATATATATGAAACCTCTCAAGGACCATTGTGATCCTTGTGGCCTAACTGTCTCTGTATAACAAAAGGCATATTATTTCAGGGAATTGATTTTTTCCTTGCTGTGTAATGGGGCCACTGTGGTGCTCAGATACTATCCAGACTGAGACCCCAAATCCCATTTGCTAGGCAATAAGGGTATTTTTTTGCCTCTTCACTCATACGTTGGTCTCTGCTTGTGTCTCTTATCTTCCTTTGGAACAGAGAGATAAACAAGAAGCTTCGAGATGAGAGAGATGCCTTTGAAGCCAAGAAGCTGGTTAGTCTAAGAAAGAAAATCCTAATACCTAGCCACCCTCCTTTCATCTGCTGCAGTTGCTGTTGCCACTCGGGGCTCTGGCAGTTCCACGGGGGACACTGACCAAAACATCTGCGGCCTTTGTGAGGCACCTCACTGTGGACTTCAATGCACCTCTTCACTTTAGGGGAGAGCTATGCCGGTTTAATTCAGGCATGTGAAAGGGATTGCCAAAGAGCATTGCCCTGTGACAGTCCTGAGAGAGGAGCCCTAGAGTAGGGGCTCTCTGTGAAACTGCAGGGAAGTGACACTTTTTATGTACATGCCAAGCCCAGAGACTTCAAAGGAAGGAGGCCAGTGTGGAAGGACCCCCCTGCCTGAGGCTGGACTAGGCTAAACTCAGAATCTTAGAGAGGGTCCACTTTTGGCAGGAGTCTGGTGCCACCTGGGCAACCTTTTTGACTTTACAGCAAGTGGGACTGCCTGGCTCTTCCTTCCACTGTGCCTGCCTGCCATTGCCAGTGCTGAAAGCCTGCCCCCAACCCCAGTCCTACATAGTGTGCATGCCCAGGGTCCTGGCAGCAAGCCAATAATGAAACGGGGGAAAGTCTAATGCTGTAAATGAAGATGGAAGTAGAAGGGTCTAGGTTTGTAGGGAAACAGCACTATTGGTCACTATGGGCCACATCTTTAATCCCCTTCACCAGCAGCCTGGAGATGCAGTGAGCAGAGCTCTCATCTGCTTGTGTTGTCTGAGGTAGGAGGGTTGTTTTCTATCTTCTCACGTGGTCTCCAAGACGTACACAGGAGCACATGGTTTATGAGGATGTCCTTGTTCCTTTCCCCCCCAGCTCTTGATTCATTCTGTATTGGAGCTTCTCCATTCCGCTTGGTCCATCCCAGCAACAAAGCAAGTTTTCTCCCACCCCTGCTGCTAGGCTGTTAGTGAAAGCCCTGGAGATGAACTGGCGTTCAGCAGTGTGTAGGCTAAGGGGGGCTGCAGCTGAGGTGAGGCTTGGAGTAGTATCCAGCATGTCAAAGGCAAAGTGGCAATGGGTAAAACTGATGACACTCAACAGCAGCCCTTCTTGGACTACAGTGCAATGGACGATGAAGTGGAGAGTAGTGGTGTCATCCCCAGGGAGTGACTTTTCTGCGCTTTAGCCCCTGTAGCTGCAGCTGCTGCTCTTGGAAGAAAGGCAAGAATCAAATGGAAAGAAGAAGGGCTTGTTTGAGAACATCTCTCATCCTAGTAACTATTCTGTATAGAGAAGGAAGGATGGTCTCTGTTACCTGAATGAAGAATTATTAAGGGGGGTGTGTGTGTGTGTGTGTGTGTGTGTGTGTGTGTGTCAGGTCACAGCCAGAATCCATCCCACCTGAATGCACGGTTCCAGGCTTCCAGCTTGGACTCTGGGGTAAAAAACATTTAGCTTAAAACTCAGGAGAAAGAACCCACTCATCTCCCCTGGAATGGCTGGAGTCCCTGCTGCACTACGGAGATGGTATGGAATGATCCAAGATGCTCAGTCTGACTCGGTTGCTGTGTATTGCACGGATGGCATGTCCTCAGTGTGCTCAATGTTTTATTGCCCCCTGCTGGAAAAATAACTGAATAAACATGCGTACATTAGTGCCGAGTCCAATACAGATGAGAAAAAAGGTGCTTTTTCCTTTTTCAGTGTTGACTGCTTCAGTACCCTGGCTTCCCATCTAAACTACAAAGGTTTCTGGGTTCTACAGGGTGGGATAGTCATCAAGTACCGTAGCAAGTTGCTGGGATAGTGACTGTTTTTTGACTTCTTACTGACCTGTTTGACTAAAGGAAACCCTTCCTTCCCATCCCCCTCCTTTCTTTCAAACTAAGGTGGCCATATCTGTGTGAGGTGCTTCTTGCCCCAGTGCAGTGAATCTACATGATGGGTTTGCAGTAGTGTTTGGGATATCCCATTCCTCTGCATATAGGTCTGGCCTATGCTGACATCACCATCATGGTCTGTCACAAAAATGGGAATGGAAAGGGGGTCTGTTTTTTAATATTAAGTAAAGTAGGAAAAAGCATGGTCATTTGTGGCATGGAGTGTCTATGTCTGTCTTCTGAAGAACTGCCTGTATTGCTATCACAGAAGTGATGATGGAGCAGTATACAGATTCCCAAGTGAGCTTGTGCTAGCAGTCTGGCTGCCCCAGAGTGGCCCAACGCAGGCTAATACATCCTGATGAGACGCTGTGATTGCATTGTAGATGTATCCCTGTGTTTGTTCATTGCCTTGCAAGACTTGGTTCCATGACAACTACTAGGTGCTCTTAGAGTACCAATAGCACTAGTAAACACAATTTGTTTCTTTCTTCCTTTTTAAGATTCTTCAAAAGGAAAAAGATAATGCTGTATTCTGTCCTTCTGGATATTTCTGCCCCAGGATTGTCTCTTGTCTCAGTTTTTTTGGGTTTTGTTTGTGTTTTGTTTTTTAAACTATTCTTAAGGAGGTGATAGTGATGAAAAGTTACCAGCCTATCCAGGGAACATCCATACACGCTAATGTGGAACCTGGAAAACACTTCTGCTCTGGATTTGGGGCACTTGAGGTTCAGAACATACCTGGAAATGGAATATTCCTGGAAAAAAAATCTAAGCCCCAGGCCAATATTGGCAATGAAAACTCCTACCTCATGCAAACTTACAGGTCAGGAAAATGCTGCAAGTGTGGGGGAGACCCTAAACTGCTGTAAATCAATGTAGTTCCATTGAAGTCAGCAGGGCTGATTTGCATCATCTTGGGTTTCTAGCTTCAAATGAAGAATGTTGCTGTACAGAGGTTGTAATTAAAACCCCATTTTTGCACAGGCTTTAAATTACCCTAGCTAGGAGTTAAAACAACCTGCTTCATAGAAAAGCAAGTTCAGGGGAAACCAACTTGCAAGCTATTAAAATATCCAGATTCTTGTTTGGAACAGCTCAAACATTTAGCAGGGGGTGTGTGTGTGTGTGTGTGTGTGTGTGTGTGTGTGTGTGTGTGTGTGTGTGTGTGTG